CGACACGAGCAGGGGGCAGACTCAGGACCAGACCTGGACGCTGCAGCAAACACCTGACCAGACGAAAGGACCCTACCAGACTCAGCACCTGGAGGAGAAGCAGTGGTCAGTGTGTACAGGCTCGACCCGGGCCGACGTGTAAACGTAGCCAGGTGGCGACCTGTATCCGCCTCCGTGCAGTGGGTCACCCGCTGACGAGCAGGGGTGAACTGGTGGACACCCGCATCCTGGAGGTCAGCACCACTCACCAAGTTCGTCGAGAACGAGGGGAGGTAGAGACCAGTCAGGGTGCCAGAGGGGGCCGCCGGACACGGGAGGACAGTGGAGAAGCGAGACAGGACAGGCCCCCCAGAGGGGTCAGCCAAGGACACCGCAACCGGCCGACTCAGCGGCGTGAGAGTGGTGCGGTCCCGAAAGAAGGAGCGAGACGCTCCAGAGTCAAGGGTGAAGGTGTGAGAGGCCGAAGCCGACACAGTACCTGAGAGGGCAGACTCACCAGCACCTGAGAGCACAGACGCACTTGCACCTAGAGCAGCAGCCTCACCAGTACCTGACGCGGCAGTACCAATGCCCGGGTCGGGCGGGAAACACCGGTAACAGTCATCCTCATCACTACCAGTCACAGCATACATAGCAGAGAGAATAGCATCAAAATCAAGATCATAAATAGCTACACCAGCCCTAGACAGCTCTCCCCAGCGGGGGATCTCAGCGGCCTCCGGAAACTGCTGACGCCAGGCGTCGGTCAGGCGGCCAAAGCAGCGGCGGGCTGTGTGGGCGCCTCCACACCTCTCCCCTGCACGGTCACCGGTGCGAAGAACGTAGGGGCAGGGACCAAGCGCACCACCACGCTGACGCTGCAAGTACCACTCACGGAGCTGCTGAGGGCCGGGGACGGTGCGAGAGCGCTGCTGCTGCTGTGGCTGCTGCTGCGGCTGCTGCTGCTGCTGCTGCTGCTGGCGCTGACCACCCCCAGAGCTGCTCCGCTGGGATGAGCCACCCCGACCCCCGCCTCCACCGCCACCCCCGCCTCCACCGCCACCCCCGTCTCCACCGCCACCTCCCCCACCAGGACCGTCGCTCCCACCGCTCCCACCGCCTCCTCCGCTACCACCTCCGCCGCCACCTCCGCCTCCACCGCCACCACCAGTACCTCCACTCCCGCCACCACTCCCACCGCCACCCCCACTCCCCCCGCCACCCCCACCGCCTCCTCCACCGCCCCCTCTAGCTCCACCCGCTCCCTTGCCCCCTTTGCCCTTGCCAGAGCGGCGTCTGCCGCTGGGGGCAGACGCCGCGCCGACCGACTCAAAACCAGTGAGGTCGGCCGCAGCGGCAGAGGCGACAGAGGGCAGCAGGGGGGAAGGACCACACCCCTCAAAGATGGGGGTGCGAGGGTCACCTCGAGAGGCCCCTACAGCGACAATACTCTTCTCAGCCGCTAGCAGGGACTCCTCAAGGAGGTCGACAGTGAGAGTGGTGGGACAGACAGAGAGAAACTGGTCCCTAACGACACGAAGGGACTCAGGGAGACGGGTGACGAGAAAGTAGAGAGTGATGTACATGGGAGGAGGGTTCGCAGCGCGGAACTCAGCAGGAAGGGCAGCGCGGTAGCGGGTGTCACTAGCACGGAGGTGGGTAACGAGGTCAGCAACAGTGGGAAAGGAGGCGAGGTCAGGGAAGAGAAACGGTAGCATGAGGCGGCTAAGGGTAGCGGAGGAAGGGGAGGAGTAGCGTGCAACTACAGCGTCGTACAAGGTCTGAGCGGTCTTGCACTGACTAAAGTGGGCACGCTCAGAGGAAGGGAGGTGGCGACGCACAGCAAGACGTGCAGCAGCATCGCGGGTCGCCCACTTGGAGCGAACGGCAGAGTCAGCATCAGCAGGTGGGGCAGGGACAGCGCCAGAGACAAAGTCAAAGAGAGAGACCTCATCTATCGCATCACACAGTAAGTACAGCTGCAGGTCTTCAATCCAGACGGCAAAGTCAATGGCCCTCCCCTCAGCGTCAAAAGTAAGAACATTGGGGGTGGCCATGGCAGCAGCTGAAAGTCTCACCGGGCTGGGAGAGTCGGGTAGGTCAGCAGCAGAGGAACACAGCTCAGGAACAGCGGCACGGCTCGGGCGGCTCGGGTTGCTGGGGCGGCGCGGGCGGCTCGGGCGGCTCGGGTGGCTCGGGCGGCTCGGGCGGCTCGGGTTGCTGGGGCGGCGCGGGCGGCTCGGGCGGCTCGGGCGGCTCGGGCGGCTCGGGCGGCTCGGGCGGCTCGGGCGGCTCGTGCGGCGCTGGTGTCGCGACGGGCGGCTCGCTGGCGGCTCGCGGGCGGCTGCACAGGCGGCTCAGGGACGGCGGCGCGGGCGGCTCAGGGAGCTCACGGGCGGCTGCGACGGGCGGCTCGCGGGCGTCGGGCGCTAGGGCGTTGGGGCGACGACGGGCGGCGCTCAGGCGTGCGGGCGGGCGGCCGTAAGGGCGAAAGGGCGGTCGGCGCTCGGGCGCTAGGGCGGGCGGCCGGCCGTCAGGGCGCTAGGGCGGGCGGCCGTCAGGGCGCTAGGGCGGGCCGCGTGCGGGCGCTAGGGCGGGCGGCCGTCAGGGCGCTAGGGCGAGTGGCGCGCGGGCGCTAGGGCGGGCGGCCGTCGGGGCGCTAGGGCGAGCGGCCGTCAGGGCTCTAGGGCGGGCGGCGCTCGGGCGCTAGGGCGGGCGGCGCTCGGGCGCTAGGGCGGGCGGCGCTCGGGCGCTAGGGCGGGCGGCTCTCGGGCGCTAGGGCGGGCGGCGCTCGGGCGCTAGGGCGGGCGGCTCTCGGGCGCTGGGGCGGGCGGCCGTCAGGGCGCTAGGGCGGGCGGCCGTCAGGGCGCTAGGGCGGTTGGCGCTCGGGCGCTAGGGCGGGCGGCCGTCAGAGGAGGGAGCGGCGGGAGCGCGACGGTAGGGGCGACACGCAGGGTCGCTAAAAAAAAAAGAACGCGCGCCTCGGGGCGCGCTTCGGTGGGCCCTAGGAACAGTCCCTAGGAGGGGACCTGCTCTGATTCCATGAGAAGAATTGAACGAGAATGGAATGACTATGAACGAAGTGAGTACAAATAGGAAACCCTAATTGGGTTGTACCCCCTATGGGATACCCCACTATAGCCTACAGAAACAAGTAAGCTATATGTTCTGACAATTTAGCGCCTCGGTCGTGTCGAAACACTAAGCTGCAAACGAAGCAAGGTGCAGCGAAGCATCGGCGAATCAACCCTCGGAAGTTGAACAGCAATTCGAGGTTACACGAAATTCAAAGGTCAGCGACCTTTGACCTGACAAATACAGCGCTACCGTCATACCCCGGATATACCCCCATGGGGGGCAATAATAAAGCAGGTTTTTTTAGGGGGGTGGGCTTATAATCGGGTAAATTTATAAGCGCCGGCGTTTATAAAATGACATATATGTTTTTATATATTTTTGAACACCATGCTGTAGATCTCGTGCTTGCCTTTTCAATCGAGACGAAGTTACATGGGGTTGTCTGTGAAATTCTCGCGCGCAGGGAGGTACACCCAATCTGACTCACATCCAGCTCCTGACAACTCATGACAGCTCCTGCTGACTGGACCCGAATCCAGTGAAGGGTCCGAATGTGAAGGGAACCGAATCTGCAAAACATCTGCCTGCTAAAGTAGAAATCGTTAAAGTTTTTTGAACACATTTCAAAAAAAAAGTTTACGTGCGCTTATAATAAAACAAGTTTTTTCAGGGGGTGCGCTTATAATCGAGCAGGGGATATAAGCGCCACACGCCAATTAAAAGCGCCAGGCGCTTATCCGAGGGTGGCGCTTATATCCGGGGTATGACGGTATAGCAAGGACACACAACTGACTCGTTATTGAGCAGTTGCCCGAGTCGTCACTGTATCGAACCGCAACAGCAGCAGTAAAACGGTTATTAACCGTATCTCTTCGTATTCCTTGTACTCTTATATAAAACCTTGTACTTCTCTGTTTTAATCAATCCACTTTGCCCTCACATACCAGTGCAAGGTGGTTCACAAAGTCATCAGTGAACGCTTCTGTCATTACATCATTCCTACCATTGAATCTAGTCCTGCAAAGATCCTTAAGGGCCTTTCTCAGCCCAACAGTGTAAATATTTGCGGCAGAGATTTTTGTAGAAGAGCTTGAATGGGATATTTACGTCTACTGTTCCTAGGTCATTTTGGTTCTCTATGGGTAGGCTTATACAAAGTGTTTCGGGTAATGGCCCGTTGTTGTAGAGAGGTTGGGTTTGAGTCTGCGAACGAGATGGATTTGTTATTAACGAGGATATCTCTGCCGCCATGTGATTACAAATTCCCGCCTAAGTTGGGTTGCCCTGCCAGGGCAGCGCGTTGCCTTCGTCACATGCGGTTCAGTTCGGTTCGTCTTGTTTCAAAGCCACACTGGCCCATTACCACTTTGAAACGTAATAAACCACGCGGAACACCCTCACTCCCCACAGATTATAGAATCTGTCACTGCAAGCTCACTCGCCAGTTTTCCTTGCTCCTTTCAAATCACCCTTGATCTATTTCCACACACAACTGAGCTAGTGATCATTCTCTACCACCGTTTCCTCCGTTTACGGTTGCCTAAGACGGCGTTCTAGCTTCGTTTTAGTCGCTCTCTCTCTAGCCTATGATCATTTTCTGCAGCCGTATCCCTGTCGTTCTTTTCAAGCATAGCTCGAAGTTCGTTTCTCATCATTGCGTTGCTTCTCTCTCGCGATTCACACCACACGCATCCCCGTTACAGATTTCCAGTTTTCATCGCTTCGATTCCGTCAATTTCGCACGTGCGTGGACAGTGTGCGGGCACGTGGCCGAATTCCCGTCACTCGTCGTAAGCGTTAGATATTTTAGAGAGTTCAGGAAACATAAAGGGCTAGGAGCATCACGGGATTCTAGGGAATTCAAGGGATCTAAACAACCAAATAACAATTTACCGGATTTTTGGGAAAGTCGGCTCGTTGCTGGGTCATCTTCGCGCGCTATGATGCGGCGGGGCAGGGGGCCGAACAGCCAGAAGCGGGGTGGGCGCGGAGGCGGAAGGGGTGGCGGAAGGGGCGGAGGGAGAGGCGGAAGGGGCGGGGGAGGAGGGGGAAGGGGTGGAGGCGGAGGCGGAGGCGGAGGGGAGCAGCGATGGTGGGATCCGGCGTGGCGCGCGGAGCGATTAGCGGCGATGGGGAAGGAGGTGAGGGGGAAGGGAGGAGGTGAGGGGGAAGGGAGGAGGTGAGGGGGAAGGGAGGAGGTGAGGGGGAAGGGAGGAGGTGAGGGGGAAGGGAGGAGGTGAGGGGGAAGGGAGGAGGTGAGGGGGAGGGAAGTTCTTAGATGTGTTTTGAGTTGACTCAAAACACAGCAGCGATGGTGGGATCTGGCGTGGCGCGCGGAGCGATTAGCTGCGACGGGGAAGGAGGTGAGAATGAAGGGAGGAGGTGAGGAGGGGAAAGGAGTTGAGGGGGAGGGAAGGGCATGAAGGGGAGGGGAGGTGGTGAATGAGACGGAGGAGCAGAGGGAGAGGGGAGGTGCGGGAGAGGGGAAGAGAGGATGGGAAGAGGGAAGGGGGTGGGGAAGAGGGAAGGGGTACAAGGAAGATAGAAGTGGGAGGGTAGACAAGAGAAGGAACGCGAGAGTGTCATTTCCATTTCCATCCCCATCCCAAATTCATTCCCACCCCCCGCTGTTCCGTCTCCCCCTGTTCCTCTCCCCCCTGTTCCACCTCCCCCTGTTCCCCCCGCCCCCTGTTCCGCCTCCCCCTGTTCCCCCCGCCCCCTGTTCCGCCTCCCCCTGTTCCCCCCGCTCCCTGTTCCGCCTCCCCCTGTTCCCCTTTCCTCTCTGTTCCGCCTCCCCCTGTTCCCAACCCCCCTCTCCCCTGTTTCACCCCCCCCCCCAGAGAGGCCCAGCAAAGCAAGTGGACGGCGCAGCATGGGCAACACGTTTTCGGCAGCTGGCAGCAGGGGGCGTTGCTGTGGGGAACGGTGCAACGGGGAATGGTGCGGTGGGGAGCGGTGCAGTGGGAGGAACAGCAGGCGCGCAGCAGGGGGGGAGTTCACCAGAGGAGATTGTGATAAGAGAGAACTATGGGAGGGAGGGCACGGAGCAACTGGCGTTACTGGCAGAGCAAGCAGGGCTGTACTTGTGAGTGATTGGGATTGGTGTGGGTGTGGCGTGGTCTAAACCTTCAACCCAAAACTTTAAACCCCAACCCGAAATCCACCTTTTTTTTAGAATTCTCAATAAACCCCAAACCCGAGATCCACTTTTTGAAAAGAAATCTCAATAAACCCCAATCCGAAATCCACTCTTTTTTTAGAATTCTCAATAAACCCCAAACCCGAGATCCACACATTCGACATGAACCTTGCTACCCATAGATTGCCAGAAATCTGCAAATTTTTGTCCCTTATTTAGCACTTGCAGCAAAAAAAAATTCAATGGCACTGGGACTGTGGCAGTGGCCAGCAGGGTGGCTCTTCCATTTCGGGCTGGGAAAGAAACATTCTACCCGCCCTTTGCATCTCCTGCTCCTCATTGATCTTCATGCAGTCAGATGTAGGGGAACGGCACTGGGACTGCTGTTGAGTCGACTCAAAAGCGGGAACGGCACTGGGACGGTGGCAGTGGCCAGCAGGCTGGCTCTTCCAGGCTATTCAAGAGAAGAGAAGGAGACCCTTCTTACTGCTGTTGTCCCCTCCCCGCTCTCTGCTTGCGTTCTTGCAGTCAAACGTACGGGAAGGGCAATGGAACGGTAGCAGTGGCCAGCAGGGTGCCTCTTCCCAGCTACCGGGCTGATCTGGATGACAAGCACGGGCGGTCCGAGCGACAGGTGAGCTTCAGATTGACTCCATTCTTGATCGACTCTGCTTTCTTGCAGCAAGAGCTCTGCGACCAGCGAGTCCATTCAGTCAATTCACAATTCACAAGGCAAGGGCGTTGGGATTTTGGGATCGTAGCAGTGGCAAGCAGAGCAGCACGGTGACTCTTCCCAGCTACCGGGCTGGACGACAAGCATGGGCGGTCGGAGCGACAGATGAGCCGCTCGTTCCACTCAGATTGACTCACTCACTTTCAGATAGACTCCTCTTCGGATTGGCTCTGGGAGTTTGGGATCGTAGCAGTGGCAAGCAGAGCAGCACGGTGACTCTTCCCAGCTACCGGGCTGATCTGGAAGACAAGCATGGGCGGTCGGAGCGACAGATGAGCCGCTCGTTCCACTCAGATTGACTCACTCACTTTCAGATAGACTCCTCTTCGGATTGGCTCTGGGAGTTTGGGATCGTAGCAGTGGCAAGCAGAGCAGCACGGTGACTCTTCCCGGCTACTGGGCTGATCTGGACGACAAGCATGGGCGGTCGGAGCGACAGATGAGCCGCTCGTTCCACTCAGATTGACTCACTCACTTTCAGATAGACTCCTCTTCGGATTGGCTCTGGGAGTTTGGGATCGTAGCAGTGGCAAGCAGAGCAGCACGGTGACTCTTCCCAGCTACCGGGTTGATCTGGACGACAAGCATGGGCGGTCGGAGCGACCGATGAGCCGCTCGTTCCACTCAGATTGACTCACTCACTTTCAGATAGACTCCTCTTCGGATTGGCTCTGGGAGTTTGGGATCGTAGCAGTGGCAAGCAGAGCAGCGCGGTGACTCTTCCCAGCTACCGGGCTGATCTGGACGACAAGCATGGGCGGTCGGAGCGACAGATGAGCCGCTCGTTCCACTCAGATTGACTCACTCACTTTCAGATAGACTCCTCTTCGGATTGGCTCTGGGAGTTTGGGATCGTAGCAGTGGCAAGCAGAGCAGCACGGTGACTCTTCCCAGCTACTGGGCTGATCTGGACGACAAGCATGGGCGGTCGGAGCGACAGATGAGCCGCTCGTTCCACTCAGATTGACTCACTCACTTTCAGATAGACTCCTCTTCGGATTGGCTCTGGGAGTTTGGGATCGTAGCAGTGGCAAGCAGAGCAGCACGGTGACTCTTCCCAGCTACCGGGTTGATCTGGACGACAAGCATGGGCGGTCGGAGCGACCGATGAGCCGCTCGTTCCACTCAGATTGACTCACTCACTTTCAGATAGACTCCTCTTCGGATTGGCTCTGGGAGTTTGGGATCGTAGCAGTGGCAAGCAGAGCAGCGCGGTGACTCTTCCCAGCTACCGGGCTGATCTGGACGACAAGCATGGGCGGTCGGAGCGACAGATGAGCCGCTCGTTCCACTCAGATTGACTCACTCACTTTCAGATAGACTCCTCTTCGGATTGGCTCTGGGAGTTTGGGATCGTAGCAGTGGCAAGCAGAGCAGCACGGTGACTCTTCCCAGCTACCGGGCTGATCTGGAAGACAAGCATGGGCGGTCGGAGCAACAGATGAGCCGCTCGTTCCACTCAGATTGACTCACTCACTTTCAGATAGACTCCTCTTCGGATTGGCTCTGGGAGTTTGGGATCGTAGCAGTGGCAAGCAGAGCAGCACGGTGACTCTTCCCAGCTACCGGGTTGATCTGGACGACAAGCATGGGCGGTCGGAGCGACCGATGAGCCGCTCGTTCCACTCAGATTGACTCACTCACTTTCAGATAGACTCCTCTTCGGATTGGCTCTGGGAGTTTGGGATCGTAGCAGTGGCAAGCAGAGCAGCGCGGTGACTCTTCCCAGCTACCGGGCTGATCTGGACGACAAGCATGGGCGGTCGGAGCGACAGATGAGCCGCTCGTTCCACTCAGATTGACTCACTCACTTTCAGATAGACTCCTCTTCGGATTGGCTCTGGGAGTTTGGGATCGTAGCAGTGGCAAGCAGAGCAGCACGGTGACTCTTCCCAGCTACTGGGCTGATCTGGACGACAAGCATGGGCGGTCGGAGCGACAGATGAGCCGCTCGTTCCACTCAGATTGACTCACTCACTTTCAGATAGACTCCTCTTCGGATTGGCTCTGGGAGTTTGGGATCGTAGCAGTGGCAAGCAGAGCAGCACGGTGACTCTTCCCAGCTACCGGGCTGATCTGGACGACAAGCATGGGCGGTCGGAGCGACCGATGAGCCGCTCGTTCCACTCAGATTGACTCACTCACTTTCAGATAGACTCCTCTTCGGATTGGCTCTGGGAGTTTGGGATCGTAGCAGTGGCAAGCAGAGCAGCACGGAGACTCTTCCCAGCTACCGGGCTGATCTGGACGACAAGCATGGGCGGTCGGAGCGACCGATGAGCCGCTCGTTCCACTCAGATTGACTCACTCACTTTCAGATAGACTCCTCTTCGGATTGGCTCTGGGAGTTTGGGATCGTAGCAGTGGCAAGCAGAGCAGCACGGTGACTCTTCCCAGCTACTGGGCTGATCTGGACGACAAGCATGGGCGGTCAGAGCGACAGATGAGCCGCTCGTTCCACTCAGATTGACTCACTCACTTTCAGATAGACTCCTCTTCGGATTGGCTCTGGGAGTTTGGGACCGTAGCAGTGGCCAGCAGGGTGCCTTTCCTTCTATGTTGACTTTTGAGTCGACTCAAAAGTCAACTCGGGATCGTAGCAGTGGCCAGCAGGGTGCCTTTCCTTCTCCTCCTTCTCTTTCCCCATCCTCTCACCCCACCCTTTCCCTCCGCTTCCCCAACTCCCCCCCCGCTCACTCCCTTTGTTCATTTAATTCAACTAAAGCCATGAACATGCCACTATCATCCCCTCCACGCCTCCTTTGATCTCCCTTCCTCTCTCATCCCCTCCCCTCACATAACGCACAAATGACTGCCGTCATGTTTCAAGCGTCCTCGTCCCGCCTTCCTCCCTGCCTCCCTTCCCGTCCCTTCCCCTCTCAAACAAACCCCCTCATCCCTCCCATTCTCCTGCAGGTCACCGTCTCATCTGATCTCCATCAACACGTCTCTACCCTCCTTGCCTCATTCCTGCGCTGTTTGGCCTTTTCTCCTATCGGTTTCGCTCCCTCTCCGCCCTCATCCCTCCCATTCTCCTGCAGATCACCGTCTCATCTGACCTCCATCAACACGTTTCAAGCCTCCTCGCCCCTTCCTCCTCCTCCTCCGCCCCCCCTGGATCAACCACACCAGCAGCAGCAGCAGCAGCGCCATCAGCAGCAGCAGGGGCACAGGGAACGGGTCTCCTCTCAATGCCTGCGGTGTCGTCCCAGGCCTCTGCAGCAGCTGAATCAGCAGCAGCACATGCGCTTAGAGTGCAGAGTGACGCGTTGAGGGCCGAACAAAACCGGCGCAAGGTGAGGTCCTCTGCAACCCTTCGTGGGTTCAAATTGAAGGTTTGCACAGGCCTTTCCAACCCCTTTGACCTCCCTGCAGCGCAAGCTATGTGGCGCCTCATGCCATGTGGCACCGCATGCCATGTGGCACCGCATGCCATGTGGCACTGCATGCCATGTGGCACCTCATGCCATGTGGCACCGCATGCCATGTGGCACCGCATGCCATGTGGCACCGCATGCCATGTGGCACCACATGCCATGTGGCACTGCATGCCATGTGGCACCGCATGCCATGTGGCACCGCATGCCATGTGGCACCTCATGCCATGTGGCACCTCATGCCGTGTGGCACCTCCCCTCCCATATTGAATCAGCGACAACAATTAGCCTATAAGGAGAGGGAGGAGCTTCTGTTGGTGCACCCAACAATCCTTTTCAAACATCTCTATCACACACAATTCACTCCCACCCTTCCCGCCCCCACCTCCTCCCTATCCTCCAGTCCTCCCCAGCAGTGCAGACCATGACGGTTCAGAGGAGCTGCTGCTGCTGCTGCTGCTGCAATGAACAATCCGCATCAAGCTTCAATATCAAAGACTTTTGAGTCGACTCAAAAGTCCACTCAGCGGAGCTGCTGCTGCAATGAACAATCCGCATCAAGCTTCTCTATCAAACACCACTCTTACCATTTTCCTTCTTTCTGTGTCCCTCCCCACCACCAGTCCTCTCCAGCAGTACGGGCAATGATGTCTCAGAGGCAACGCCTACCGGTCTTCAAGCAGCGGGAGGAGCTGCTGCGAGCTGTGCAGCAGAGCCAGGTGATTGCAGCAGAGCCAGGTGATTGCAACAGAGCCAGGTGATTGCAACAGAGCCAGGTGATTTTAGCAGAGCCAGGTGATTGCAGCAGCACCAGGTGATTGCAGCAGCGACTGGTTAAGATGATTGCGTCAGTATGTTCTACAAAAGGAGGTGAATGCAGACGAATCAGGTGATTGTAAACAGTGCCAGGCTGATATAACAGATTCAGGTGAGTGCAACAGAACATCCGCTTCCATGGCAGAGATTTGATCTGCCCTTATCTGGCCCAGATGCTTGCGATATCCTTCTTACCTTGTCCGGTTGCCCTTGATGTGACACTTTCCCTCTTCCTGATGTCCCCATGGTGTCAGACGATACAGGGTGTGGGTTCAGGGTTTAGGGTTTGTTCAGGTACATCTCCGTGTGTTGCCCTCCCCTCCTCCCTCACTCCGTCCCGTCCCCTTCGGTGCCAGTGGTGTCAGGGGAGACGGGCTGTGGCAGGACCACCCAGCTCCCGCGGCGAGATAGAGGCAAGAAGGGGAGCACAGACCTTCATCATTTGCACTCAGCCCCGGCGAATTTCAGCGACGTGGTGGCATTTTTGAGAATTCTAAAAAATCACTCACGAGGGTAGCATAGGCCTGCCCATTGAGTCGACTCAAAAGTCTTCTCAAAAATCAGTCACGAGGGTGGCATAGGCTTGCGCATTCATGCGTTCAGCCCATTCATGCGTTCTACGGTCTACCCCACTGTTCGCATTTTCCCAGGTGCTTGTGGTGTCGGGAGAAACTGGCTGTGGGAAGACCACCCAGTTACCCCAATTCATCCTGAAGAGAGAGATAGGCAGAGGCGCACAGACCATGATCATCTGCACCCAGCCCCGGCGGATATCCACCACGTCGGTGGCAGCAAGAGTGGCAGCAGTCAGCCCACCCGCTCAAACATGCAGTGTTTAACCACCCCCATTCCTCCTTTCCGCAGGTCCTTGTGGTTTCGGGCGAGACAGGCTGTGGCAAAACCACCCAGCTCCCGCAATTCATTCTGGAGAGTGAGATAGAAGCAGGCAGGGGCGCACAGACCATGATCATCTGCACCCAGCCCCGGCGGATATCCGCCACGTCGGTGGCGGCGAGGGTGGCGGCGGAGAGAGGCGAGGAGGTGGGGGGCAGCGTGGGGTATCAGATCCGGATGGAGAGCAGACGAGGGGCGAGTACGAGGCTGCTGTTCTGCACGACTGGGGTGCTGCTGAGACGACTGGTGAGTGGTGGTGGGGATAGTGGTGAGTGAGTGCATGGGTTGGGGTGAACCTAGTATTCACCAGAAGCGAGGAGGTGGGGGGCAGCGTGGGGTATCAGATCAGGATAGAGAGCAGACGAGGGCCGAATACGAGGCTGCTGTTCTGCACTACTGGGGTGCTGCTGAGACGACTGGTGAGTGGTTTGTATGGTAAAGGCTGGCTAAAAGATGGATAGGGGTTGAAGCCTGGAAGCAGAGGAGGTGGGGGGCAGCGTGGGGTATCAGATCCGGATGGAGAGCTGGCGCGGGCCCAATACGAGGCTGCTGTTTTGCACTACTGGCGTGCTGCTGAGACAACTGTTGGGTGTGGGGTGAATACATGGGTTGGGGTTGAACACCCGGCTGCTGTTTCGCACCACTGGAGTGCTGCTGAGACGACTGGTGAGTGTGGGGTGGAGAGTGTGAGTGTGGGGTGGAGAGTGGTGAGTGTGGGGTGGAGAGTGGTGAGTGTGGGGTGGAGAGTGGTGAGTGCGCGGTGGAGAGTGGTGAGTGGGTGGTGAGTGCCGGATGGGGTGGGTGACAGGTGAATGTGAGTGAGGTGATTGTAAGGTGAGTGTGTGGGTGGGGTGGAGACTGGTTTATGTTGGATGCGCTGGTTTGTTTCTGATGCATGAACCAACACTTGTCTCATTCTTTGAGAGACCTGCGACGTGCTACCCCATGTGTTGTGTTGCCCCATCTGAAAAAAGGAGTGTTTTGAGAAACCACGTCTCACGTCTCAAAACACTCCTTTTTTCACGAGACGTCTCAAAACACTCCTTTTTTCACGAGACGTCTCAAAACACTCCTTTTTTCACGTGCTACCCCATGTGTTGATCCATCCATCTGCTGCCCTGTTCGCTCGCTGTCCTATATACTGCCACTGTATCATGCTCTCCCCCTTCCCACACACACAGGTGCAACAGCCAGTCCTAGCTGGGGTTTCGCATGTGATGGTGGACGAGATACACGAGCGAGGGATGAATGAAGACTTCCTCCTCATCATCCTCAGGGATCTGCTGCCCGCCCTGCTTGTCTCTCCTCTCCTCCCCATCCATTCAGGTGCAACAACCAGACCTAGCTGGCGTCTCCCACGTGATGGTGGACGAGATACACGAGAGGGGAATGAACGAGGACTTTCTCCTCATCATCTTGAGGGACCTGCTGCCGCGCCGCCCCGACTTGCGCCTCGTGCTCATGAGCGCCACCATCAATGCGGAATTGTTTTCGGAGTACTTCAACAAAGCACCGATGGCACACATTCCGGTGAGTTTGACTGGTGTCTCTCTGTCACTCTTTGCTGCCTCGTGCTCATGAGCGCCACCATCAACACGGAGCTGTTCTCGGAGTACTTCAATAAAGCACCAATGGTGCACATTCCTGTGAGTCTTTAGAATTCGCAAAAGTCATTCCGGTGAGTTTGAGTGGGATGTTCGAACACGTGTGATGTCGTTCATGTGTGCTTGCTTTGTGCTCATGAGCACTACAATCCGTGCAGAGCTGTTCTCGGAGTATTTCAGTACGGCACGGATGGCACACATCCCTGTGAGTTTGATTGGTGTTTATCTGTCACTCTTTGCTGCCTCGTGCTCATGAGCGCCACGATCAATGCAGAGCTGTTCTCAGCGTACTTCAATAAAGCTCCCATGGCGCACATCCCGGTGAGTGGCGCATGGTGTTGCCATCGCACTTGTTCCGCCCCGACCTGCGTCTCGTGCTCACCTCGTGCTCACCTTGTGCTCACCTCGTGCTCACCTTGTGCTCACCTCGTGCTCACCTCGTGCTCACCTCGTGCTCATGAGCACCACCATCAACACGGAGCTCTTCTCCGAGTATTTCAATAAAGCTCCCATGGCGCATATTCCTGTGAGTGAGTGCTGTGGTGATGCCTGTGGGCCGTCTGTGTGTGAGTGTGAGCTTGGTTGGTGCCTGTGTTGTTGCCGTCACACTCGTTCCGCCCCGACCTGTGTCTCGTGCTCACCTTGTGCTCATGAGCACAACCTTCAACGCGGAGCTGTGCTCAGAATACTTCAGTAAGGCCCCCATGGCACATATTCCGGTGAGTGAGTGGTGTGTGTGTGTGTGCGTGTGTGTGTGTGTGTGTGTGTGTGCGTGTGTGTGTGTGTGAGTGTGTGTGTGTGAGTGTGAGTGTGTGTGTGTGTGTGAGTGTGAGTGTGTGTGCGTGTGAGTGTGTGTCTGTGTGAGTGTGTGAGTGTGTGTGTGTATGTGAGTGTGTGTGTATGTGAGTGTGTGTGTGTGTGTGTGTGAGTGTGTGTGTGTATTTCCACGAGGCCCCCATGGCACATATTTCGGTGAGTTTCACTGCTATCCGTGGTCTGAGTTCAGAGGTCTTTTCAAAGCTTCACTCCCCTCACGCCACCACCTCTCTCTTCCCCTCGTTCTCCACACTTGTTCTTCTATTTTTTACTGGGTTTCACACACCCCGTGCAGCAATTATTCCTAGAGCACGTGTTGGAGCGCACTCGCATTCCCACCCGGGACCACGTCTTGTTGCCTTGCCACCATGCCTCTGCTCCTCCTCCCCTTGTTCCCCCACTTCCCTCACAGGGTTTCACACACCCGGTGCAGAAATTATTCCTAGAGCACGTGTTGGACCATTCCCATCAGGGACCAGAGCCAACAGGGAGGAGAAGGGGGGTGGTTCTCTCGCGTACCCATCTGCTCATGCCTCGTCACCTCACCTCCTCCTCTACCCCATCCTGCTGCTACCACCTCTCTCCTCCCCCCTTCCCCTTGAATTTACAGGGCTTCACGCATCCAGTGCAACAGCTGTTCCTAGAGCACGTGTTGGAGTGCGCACGCATTCCCATCAGGGACCAGGGCCGGCAGGGGAGGCGATTAGTATGTGCACGTGCAATCTCATTCCTTGGCACTGCCTTCCTCCTCTTCTGCCCCATCACCTTTCTTCCCGGTCCCTTATCCTTGCACTCCCAGGGTTTCACCCACCCAGTGCAACAGCTGTTCCTAGAGCACGTGTTGGAGCGCACGCGCATTCCCATCCGGGACCAGGGCCAGCAGGGAGGAGGAGGGTGGTTCTCAAGAGGAGGAGGAGGGGGAGGGCGGGGGTATGGGCGGGGGAGACGAGAGAGGAGTGCGAGTGTGGCGAAGAAAGACCCGATCTCAGAGGCATGGGAGGTGAGGTATAGGTGGTATGGGGAGTTGTGTTGCAAGTGGGCTATGTGAAGTGCAGGGCGGTGGTACGGGAGGGGGAGGCTGGAGAGGAGAAGTGAGAGGAGTGCAAGTGTGGCTAAGAAAGAACAGATCTCAGAAGTTTGGGAGGTGAGAATAGTAATAACTGGGGGTCTGGGAGGTGGAAGGAAGGGAGGAAGGAAAGGGGTATGGAAGGGGGAGACGGGAGAGGAGTGCAAGTGTGGCAAAGAAGGACCCGATTTCAGAAGCCTGGGAGGTGCGAATGAATGAAAAATGGGAGGTTTTAGTTCAAGTAGACGTGTGCTCGCACTGCTCTGCACTCACACTTGCAATACCACCCCTCTCCACTCCACCCTCCACACACGCGCGCACTTCTCTGCCTTCACCCGGTTCACCCAGGACTCTTGAGTCGACTCAAAAGCTACCTAAGGCTCTCTCGCCAATCTCTCAGCAGACCAGCTAGGTCACATTGACCTAGTGGCATCTCTGTGCCTGAACCCCTCTCCACCCTTCTCCACCCCTCTCCACCCCATATACATGTTGGTTCTGGCAGGATGTGGACATATGGTCGCACTACTCTGCCTTCTCCCGACCCACCCAAGAATCCCTTTCCAACTTCTCACCAGACAAGCTAGACATTGATCTAGTGGCATCAGTCGTGGAGCATATATGCCGAAACGAGGCTGAGGGGGCGGTGCTGGTCTTTTTGACTGGCTGGGACGAGATTTCGAAGCTGCTGGAGGCTCTCAAGACGATGCCTGTCGTCGGGCAGTCGTCGAAAGTTTTGCTCCTGCCCCTGCATGGGTCGATGCCGACGATTCATCAGAAAGAGATTTTCAACCGCCCGCCCCCTGGAGTCAGGTGGGTTTTTGTATTACGCAACCATGCATATAGCATTCAATAATTAACATATGTGCTGGGGCTTTCTTGTTCTTTCATTTCCGTTCTGCTTCTTTTTCTCCAGGAAAGTAGTCCTAGTGACCAACATAGCGGAGACGAGCATCACAATCGACGACGTCGTATTTGTGGTGGACCGCGGAAAGGCCACTTCCTACTCATCATCTCTGCTTCTCATCTTCTGTTCCCTTCTGCTCTTCTCAGAAAGGTGGTTCTGGCGACCAACATAGCGGAGACCAGCATCACAATCGACGGCGACGTCTCTTATCCTCCTCGCCCCTTCACCAATTCTACATATTTCTTCTTTCTTCATTTCTCGTTTCTCTTTTCCCTCTCTCCAGAAAGGTGGTCCTGGCGACCAACATAGCAGAGACGAGCATCACACAATCGACGACGTCGTTTTCGTGGTCGACTGTGGAAAGGCCAAGGAAACTTCCTACGACGCTCTAAACAAGCTGGCCTGCCTGCTCCCCTCCTGGATCTCCAAAGCCTCGGCGCACCAGAGGAGGGGGCGGGCGGGGCGGGGCAACCAACGTAGCAGAAACCAGCACCCACTCCTTTTACCCTCCCCTGTTCTCTGACCCTTCCTCTCCTCTGTTGCTTCCCACCTTCTGCCCCTTCGCTCCCCTCTTTTCAGAAAGGTGGTTCTGGCGACCAACATAGCGGAGACCAGTATCACCATTGACGACGTCGTTTTCGTAGTGGACTGCGGAAAGGCCAAGGAAACTTCCTATGACGCTCTGAACAAGCTGGCCTGCCTGCTCCCCTCCTGGATTTCCAAAGCCTCGGCGCACCAGAGGAGGGGGCGGGCGGGGCGCGTGCAGCCGGGAATTTGTTTCCACCTCTACCCGAAGACGGTTTATGATTCGCTGCTGGAGTTTCAGCTGCCCGAGATTCTGAGGACGCCGCTCCAGGAGCTGTGCTTGCAGATCAAGCATCTTGGGTTGGGGCACGTGCAGTCGTTCCTCTCTAAAGCAATGCAGCCACCGGAACCGCTGGCTGTAAGTGCAGGGGTTGCTTGTTGGTTTGCTTTGCGAGGGTCCCTAGATTCTGAGGACGCCCCTGCAGGAGCTGTGCTTGCAGATCAAGCACCTTGGGTTGGGACACGTGCAGGCGTTTCTGTCTAAACCCATGCAGCCACCGGAACCGCTGGCAGTAAGTTCGAGGTGAGGCATCCACGCTGGTATGACAGTCCTTCAGCCTGGCAGCAAGTGGCAGGCATGAGCTGTACTTGCAGATCAAGCACCTGGGGCTGGGGCACGTGCAGTCGTTCCTCTCTAAAGCCATGCAGCCACCAGAACCGCTGGCAGTAGGTGGGGTGGGAGGGGGGGATACAGGTTGGTGTGAGGGTCCCTAGATCCTGAGGACGCCCCTGCAGGAGCTGTGCTTGCAGATCAAGCACCTTGGGTTGGGGCATGTGCAGTCGTTTCTGTCCAAGGCTATGCAGGCACCAGAAGCACTTGCAGTAAGTGTGGAAGGTGCATACATGCTGGTTGGTGTGGAAGGTGCATACATGCTGGTTGGTGTGGAAGGTGCATACATGCTGGTTGGTGTGGAAGGTGCATACATGCTGGTTGGTGTGGAAGGTGCATACATGCTGGTTGGTGTGGAAGGTGCATACATGCTGGTTGGTGTGGAAGGTGCATACATGCTGGTTGGTGTGGAAGGTGCATACATGCTGGTTGGTGTGGAAGGTGCATACATGCTGGTTGGTGTGACCCCGGCAGTGAGTGACAGAGAGCCGTGTGAGCACATCAAGCACCTTGGTTTGGGACATGCGCAGTTTTTTTTAGAATTCTAAAAAAAAACACGCAGTCGTTTTTGTCTGAGGTCGTGCGGCCACCAGAGCACCTGGCTGGCTGGCAGTGAGTATTTTTGAGGCACCTCAAGGTGACTTTTGAGTCGACTCAAAAGTCACCCAGAGCACCTGGCTGGCTGGCAGTGAGTATTTTTGAGGCACCTCAAAAGTCGTGCGGCCACCAGAGCACCTGGCTGGCAGTGAGTGGGGTGGGGTGGGGTGGGGGGGAGGGATACATGTCGGTGGATGGGAGCACTGCCTCTGTTTCTTCCTCCTGCTTTCACTATCCAGTTTTCTCTCTCTGTGCTCCCCGCACCCATCCTTTCAGGTGCAAAACGCGGTGCAGCTTCTGGAAACCATTGGAGCATTCACCCCCGAGGAGCAACTCACCTCCCTGGGGTGCCACCTGGCCGCCATTCCCGTGGAGCCCCGCATTGGAAAGGTGGGTCTCGTTGGATGAGGACACAGAGTCTCACCTCCCTCAGTTGCCACCTTCCTCCATCGCCACCTCCCTGTTGTGCCACCTGGCTGCCATTCCCGTGGAGCCCCGCATTGGAAAGGTGGGTCCTGTTTCTTTCCCTGTACCTGAGGTGCCACCTCCTTCTGGTAACACCTCCCTCGGATGCCACCTGACCGCCATTCCCGTGGAGCCAAGCATTGGGAAGGTGGGTTGCGCCCTGCTTTTTCGGTGAGCTTCGTGTTGGAGTTGTCGAACGCAGACAGGTGAGCTTTGTGTTGGAGTTGTCGAACGCAGACAGGTGAGCTTCGTGTTGGAAAAGTGGGCGCAGCAAGGCCTGGCTGTCCAAGTGACGCTGTTTCTACGAGTATGTGACGTAATTTCGTTTCCTTCTTTTGGTCGCCAACAGGAACCCTGCGTTACGTAAGGGTGGATTTCAAAGGTGGGACGAGTGGTTGCCTTCCCAGCCCTCACCATTGCTGCCCCCTATCCATGCTCTGCTCTGCTCTGCTTCCTTAAATCCCTCCCTACCAACCACCCCCCCACCCCCCCCAGATGCTCATATTCGGGGCCATCTACAACTGCCGAGTCTGTTTTTTTAAGAATTCTCATTTTTTTTTTAAGAATTCTCAAAAACACATTCCCCCCAGATGCTCATATTCGGGGCCACCTACAACTGCCTCGCGCCAGCGCTCACCATCGCTGCATCCCTGGTGTGGGAGGGGAGGGGAAGGGTATATGTCCCATAGTCCCTCCCTTCGTGCTGCCTTTCCCCCTCCCCTGAACCCCCCCATCCCCCCAGATGCTCATATTCGGGGCCATATTCAACTGCCTCGCACCAGCCCTCACCATCGCAGCCTCTCTCGCCTGCCTTTGAGTTCTGCCATCGCATTCCATGCCCCTCCCTCTCCGCCCCGCCCGCCATGCCCCCATCCCCCCAGATGCTCATATTTTCGGGGCCATATTCACTGCCTCACGTCAGCCCTCACCATCGCAGCCTCTCTCGCCTGCCCTTGAGTTCTGCCATCGCAGTCCATGCCCCTCCCTCCTCTCCGCCCCGCCGTTGCAGGGAGTTTTTGAGAATTCTCAAAAACTCCATCGCTGCATCCCTGGCCTGCCTTTGAGTCCTGCCATCGCAGTCCATGCCCCTCCCTCCTCTCCGCCCCGCCCGCCATGCCCCCATCCCCTCAGATGCTCATATTCGGGGCCATATTCAACTGCCTCGCGCCAGCCCTCACCATCGCTGCCTCCCTGGCATACCGGGACCCCTTCGTCCTGCCACTTGACAAGAAGGAGATGGCGGATGCAGCCAAGAAAAAGTTCTCAAAGGATTCGAGAAGGTGAGCTGGGTTGGGGTGCGGTGTGGTTGGGTGGGGTTGGGTGGGGTGGGGTGGGGTGCTTTTCACCATCGCTGCCTCTCTGGCCTACCGCGACCCCTTCGTCCTTCCACTTGACAAGGAGTTTTCAAAGGATTCGCATACCGGGACCCCTTCGTCCTTCCACTTGACAAGAAGGAGTTTTCAAAGGATTCGCATACCGGGACCCCTTCGTCCTTCCACTTGACAAGGAGGAGTTTTCAAAGGATTTGCATACCGCGACCTCTTCGTTCTGCCACTTGACAAGAAGGAGATGGCAGATGCAGCCAAGAAGGAGTTCGCCAAGGACTCAAGAAGGTGAGCTGGGGTGGGGAGAGGTGAGCTGGGGTGGAGTGGGGTGGGGTGAGGTGGGGCGCTAATCACCATCGCTGCCTCTCTGGCCTACCGGGACCCCTTTGTCCTCCCGTTCGACAAGAAGGAGCTGGCGGATGCAGCCAAGAAGGAATTCGCCAAGGTCTCTAGGAGGCGAGCTGGGGTGGGGTGGGGTGCGATGGGGTGCGGTGGGGTGGGGTGGGGTGGGGTGCGATGGGGTGCGGTGGGGTGGGGTGGGGTGGGGTGCGATGGGGTGCGGTGGGGTGGGGTGGGGTGAGGTGGGGTGGGGTGGGGTGGGGTGGGGTGGGGTGGGATGGGATGCAGTGGGGGGGTGCTTTTCACCATCGCTGCCTCTCTGGCCTACCGGGACCCCTTCATTCTGCCCCTTGACAAGAAAGAGATGGCGGATGCAGCCAAGAAGGAGTTCTCAAAGGACTCGAGGAGGTGAGCTGGGTTCAGTGGGGTGCGATGGGGTGCGGTGGGGTGCGATGGGGTGCGTAGGGGTGCGATGGGGTGCGATGGGGTGCGATGGGCAGTGAACCCCTTTGTGCTGCCACTCGACAAGAAGGAGTTCTCACAGGACTCTAGGCCGACCTAGAGATGGGGATTGCGACGGCCTAGGACTCTAGGAGGTATGTGGGTTGTCTCTAGGCCATCGCAATCCCCATCCCTCACCAAGAAGGAACTCGCTAAGGTCTCTAGGAGGTGAGCTCACTTTATCTCGAATGGCCCTTGTATTGATTGATGGTTGGTACACGGGAGAATGCAAACACAAGCATATCAAACGAGGCCCTAACTAGCACCTATCCTCTAGAAGGTCAGCTCACTTTATCTCTGTCTCCAGACTATCCCACCCCCCCATCTCCCATACCCCCTTATCCCACCCCCCCATCTCCCATACCCCCTTATCCCACCCCCCCATCTCTCATACCCCCTTATGCCACCCCCCCATCTCCCATACCCCCTTATGCCACCCCCCCATCTCCCATACCCCCTTATGCCACCCCCCTCTCTCCCCTATCCTCTCTGTTCTCCATGCCCTCCCGCTTTCCCCCCCCACCCCCCCCTCCACCTTCCCAGCGACCACATAGCTCTGCTCAACGCGTCTAAGGGGTGGGTGGCGAGCGGCCAAGATGCATGCAAGGCCAGGAGCGCAATCATTGCTGGGATAACTTGCTCTCCCATTCCCTCCCCCCTCAGCTGTGCCCTTCCTCCCCAGCGACCACATAGCTCTGCTCAACGCGTTTGAAGGGTGGGTAGCGGCCAAGATGCATGCAAGGCCAGGAGCGCAATTGTTGCTGGGATAACTTGCTCTCCGCTCCCCTTCCATCCCCTCCTCCCTCATTTCCTCCTCTCTCATTTCTTTCTCTCTCATCCCCACCTACCAGTGACCATATAGCTCTGCTCAATGCATTTGAGGGGTGGGTGGGTAGCGGCCAAGATGCATGCAAGGCCAGGAGCGCAACTTCTGCTGGGATAACTTCTCTGCTTTCCTTCCATTTTCTCCTCTCGCATTTCCTCCCATCCCCACCTCCACCCCCCTCCCCCACCACCCTCCAGCGACCACATCGCACTGCTGAACGCGTTTGAAGGGTGGAGAGCGGCCAAGATGCAAGGGCAGGAGCGCAATTATTGCTGGGATAACTTCCTCTCTGCTCCGGTGCTGCAGATGGTATCAGACATGCGAGGGCAGTTCCTGCAGCTGCTCAGTGATATTGGCTTCTACGACCCAAGATTGGGGCTCAATGTGAGTGCGTTGCCCTCAATGTGTGCTACGAGGGTTGCACCGACAGTGCGTTCATGGGGCCGGTGCTGCAGATGGTATCAGACATGCGAGTGCAGTTCCTGCAACTGCTGAGTGACATCGGGTTCTATGACCCGAGACTGGGGCTCCATGTGAGTGCCTTGTGCTCATAGTGAGTGATGAGGCTGGCATATGCATATGCATGGGTGCGATGCGAGTGCGAGGAGCACCGGTGCTGCAGTGCAGATGGTGGCGGGCGGACATGCGAGGGCAGTTCCTGCAGCTGCTGAGTGACATCGGGTTCTATGACCCGAGACTGGGGCTCCATGTGAGTGCCCTGTGCTCACAGTGAGTGATGAGGCTGGCATATGCATATGCATGGGTGCGAGTGCGAGGAGCACCGGTGCTGCAGTGCAGATGGTGGCGGGCGGACATGCGAGTGCAGTTCCTGCAGCTGCTGAGTGACATCGGGTTCTATGACCCGAGACTGGGGCTCCATGTGAGTGCCCTGTGCTCACAGTGAGTGATGAGGCTGGCATATGCATATGCATGGGTGCGAGTGCGAGGAGCACCGGTGCTGCAGTGCAGATGGTGGCGGGCGGACATGCGAGGGCAGTTCCTGCAGCTGCTGAGTGACATCGGGTTCTATGACCCGAGACTGGGGCTCCATGTGAGTGCCCTGTGCTCACAGTGAGTGATGAGGCTGGCATATGCATATGCATGGGTGCGAGTGCGAGGAGCACCGGTGCTGCAGTGCAGATGGTGGCGGGCGGACATGCGAGGGCAGTTCCTGCAGCTGCTGAGTGACATCGGGTTCTATGACCCGAGACTGGGGCTCCATGTGAGTGCCCTGTGCTCACAGTGAGTGATGAGGCTGGCATATGCATATGCATGGGTGCGAGTGCGAGGAGCACCGGTGCTGCAGTGCAGATGGTGGCGGGCGGACATGCGAGGGCAGTTCCTGCAGCTGCTGAGTGACATCGGGTTCTATGACCCGAGACTGGGGCTCCATGTGAGTGCCCTGTGCTCACAGTGAGTCTCGCACTGAATGTCAGCGAGGTCTGCACACATGGGTGCTATAAATGGCGGCGAACAAGCGAGGGCAGTTCCTGCAACTGCTCAGTGACATCGGGTTCTATGACCCGAGACTGGAGCTCAGCACTGGGGCTCAGCACTGGAGCTCAACGTGAGTGTCGAAGGGTGCCCATGCATGCATGGGAAAGGGACGAGCCTTAGGGCATGATTGTACGAGCGGTGCTGCAGATGGTGGCGGGCGGGCATGCGAGGGCAGTTCCTGCAGCTACTGAGTGACATTGGTTTCTATGACCCGAGGCTGGGGCTCAATGTGAGTGCGCTGCCTTTAATGCCAGTCTCGCACTGAATGTCAGCGAGGGTTGCACTCTCAGGTGACCCCATTTACTCCCATCTCAGGTGGCTTTTGAGAATTCTCAAAATGCAGATGGTGGCGGGTATAAGAGGGCATTTTCAGACATAATTCTCAGGGAGTGACTAAAACATCGACTTATCACGAAATGCAGATGGTGGCGGGCGGATATAAGAGGGCATTTCCCCCACTACCAACCAAGTGACTCTCTTTCAAACTGTCATTATCCCCCCATTGACTCCTATTGAACCCCACCCCTTCTAATCTCCTATTCAACCCCCTATGACCCTCCTATTGGCTGTCAACACGACCCCCTTTTTCTTCCCCTCAGGAGTACAGCCAGCTGGCATCGGACCAAGAAATGCTCTCCCTACTGTCTCAACCCTTTAAACTCCCTCCCGTGTAACCCTTTGACCCTTTTCTTGTTTTTAACTCAGGAGTACAGCCAGCTGGCATCGGACCAAGAAATGCTCTCCCTACTGTCTCAACCCTTTAAACTCCCTCCCGTGTAACCCTTTGACCCTTTTCTTGTTTTTAACTCAGGAGTACAGCCAGCTGGCATCGGACCAAGAAATGCTCTCCCTACTGTCTCAACCCATTGGGTTTAACTCCCTCCCATGTAACCCTTTGACCCTTTTTCTTTCCATCAGGAGTACAGCCAGCTTGCATCGGACCAAGAAATGCTCTCCGCTGTGATCTGTGCGGGCCTCTACCCCTCTGTTGCTCAGGTGAGGGTCACTGTTGCTCAGGTGAGGGTCAGGTGAGAGTCTCTGTTGCTCAGGTGAGGGTCACTGTTGCTCAGGTGAGGGTATCTGTTGGTCAGCTGAGGTCTCTCTGTTGCTCAGGCGAGGGTCTCTATTGCTCAGGTTAGGGTCTTTGTTGCTCAGGTGAGGTCTCTTTGTTGCTCAGGTGAGGTCTCTCTGTTGCTCAGGTGAGGTCGCTCTGTTGCTCAGGTGAGGTCTCTCTGTTGCTCAGGCGAGGGTCTCTATTGCTCAGGTTAGGGTCTCTGTTGCTCAGGTGAGGTCTCTTTGTTGCTCAGGTGAGGTCTCTCTGTTGCTCAGGTGAGGTCGCTCTGTTGCTCAGGTGAGGTCGCTCTGTTGCTCAGGTGAGGTCTCTCTGTTGCTCAGGCGAGGGTCTCTATTGCTCAGGTTAAGGGTCTCTGTTTCTCATGTGCTAGCCTCAACCAGTCGTTTCCTCCTTCGCCCAATTCCAGATTCACCTTCTGTTGCAACCGATTTGTCTTCTTCACAAAGTACGATGGGTGCATGCAGCTAGATGCACCCTTCCCCAGACAAAACCTTTATATCCTCCTCGGTAGCATCCATATTCATTTCATTCTCTCTCCTCCACTTCTGTCCTTCACAGATTCGGCGGCAGGGCAAGCGGTTTGTGTTCTTCACCAAGGATGACGGGCGGGGGGAGATGCACCCTTCCTCAGTCAACGCCTCCTCGATAACACCCACTAGTTATCTCCTTTTCCCTCCCACTCTCTCCCCCTTTCAGATTCGCCGGCAGGGCAAGCGGTTTGTGTTCTTCACCAAAGATGACGGGCGGGTGGAGATGCACCCTTCCTCAGTCAACGCCTCCTCAGTAGCAACCGGATTTATCCCCTTCTCTCCCTGTCTTCTCTCTCTCTCTCACAGATTCGGCGGCAGGGCAAGCGGTTTGTGTTCTTCACAGAGGACGATGGGAAGGTGGAGATGCACCCTTCCTCAGATGAAGCCTTTCCTGTGTAACACCCATACTTCTCCCTCCCTATTGTATCTCCTTCACATATTCGGCGGCAGGGCAAGCGGTTTGTGTTCTTCACCAAGGACGATGGCCGCGTGGAGATGCAACCGTTCCTCAGATGAGGCCTCCTGCCTAACACGCAAATTGATCCTCTTCTCTCTCCCTATCGTCCCCCCTCCAGATCCGGCGGCAGGGCAAGCGGTTTGTGTTCTTCACCAAGGACGATGGCCGCGTGGAGATGCACCCTTCCTCAGTCAACGCCTTCTGCCCTTCCTTCTCCCGCCCGTGGCTCGTCTACAACGAGAAGGTCAAGACCTCAGACATCTTCCTCAGGTTAGCAACAGTTGAATGCGATTCAATTAGTTGCCAGTGACGCATTATATCAATTTTTAGCTATCTCCCCTTCCTTCTCCCGCCCCTGGCTCGTCTACAACGAGAAGGTCAAGACTTCTGACATCTTCCTCAGGTTGGTACTGCTTGGATGGTTTTTATGCGGTGTAGTGCGGTTCATGGCGATTCACGGCGATTCAGTGTGGTTCATTGCGGTACATAGGGTTATGCAGTGATGCGTTGAGATCATTGCCTTCTGCCCTTCCTTCTCCCGCCCCTGGCTCGTTTACAATGAGTAGGTCAAGAAGACCTCCGACATTTTCCACAGGTTGGTGCCGGTTAAATGCGGTTCAGTGGTTACCAGTGATGCATTAAGGAAAACTCCTTCCGCCCCGCTTTCCTTTCCACAAGCAGCCGTCATTTCGTCTTCTCTCCATCCTCCCTCCACCCACCCCTCCAACCCTCCCCTCTCAGGGACTCCACCCTGGTCTCTGATTTCGCTCTCCTCATGTTCCGAGGCAACCCTGAGCCCACCCTGGCTGGCACCCCTCTCCACCCCTCCCAGGAACTCCGCCATGGTGTCGGTGTCACCTTATTTCCAACAGTCTGATTTCGCGCTCCTCATGTTCCAAGGCAACCCCAAGCCACTTGAAGTTTCCGCAAGCGCCGCATTTCACTCACCCACCCCTCCCACCCCTCCCATTCCTCCAACCCTCCCCTCACAGGGATTCCACCATGGTGTCTGACTTCGCCCTCGCGTTCCCAGGCAACCTCGAGTCTATTTTTGAGGCGCCTCAAAAATAGACTTTCGCCCTCCTCACATTCCCAGGCAACAACCTCAAGCTCGCCCCTGCTGGGACGTCCCTTTCACAGTCCCTGCCTCACTCCATCCTTCTCTACCCCTCCCTCCTCCCAACTCCCAAGGACTCCACCCACCATGGTGTCTGTCTGCTTTCGCATTGCTCAAGTTTGGAGGGAACCTAAAGTCACTTGAAGGGACGGACTGGAATCCTTTCCAAGCACCATGCATGAATGATGAATCTACCCATCCCTACACCCCTCCATCCACCCCCCCTCCCTCCCCTCCCAGGCACTCCACCATGGTCTCTGATTTCGCCCTCCTCATGTTCGGAGGCAACCTTGAGCCTGCCCCTGCTGGGACCCTCCTGGCTCAAGGGATAAGACTTACTGTGCTCCATCCTTCTCCACCCCTCTCCACCCCTCCCAGGGACTCCACCATGGTATCTGATTTCGCTCTCCTCATGTTCGGAGGGAACTTAGAGCCCGCCCCTGCTGGCTCAAGGGACACTTACCGTGCTCCACCCCTCTCCACCCCTTTCCACCCCTCTCAACCCCTCCCCAGCCCTCTCCACCCCGCCCAGGGACTCCACCATGGTCTCTGATTTCGCCCTCCTCATGTTCCGAGGGAACCTAGAGCCCGGCCCGGCTGGCACAACTCAAGGGATACTTACCGTGCTCCACCCCTCCCCACCGCTCCCCACCCCTCTCCCAGGGACTCCACCATGGTATTTGATTTCGCCCTCCTCATGTTCGGAGGCAACCTTGAGCCTGCCCCTGCTGGGACCCTCCTGGCTCAAGGGATACTACTTACTGTGCTCCACCCCTCTCCACCCCTCTCTACCCCGCCCAGGGATTCCACCATGGTCTCTGATTTCGCGCTCCTCATGTTCTGGCCAACCTCGAGCCCGCCCCTGTTGGAACCCGGCTCAAGGGATACTTACCGTGCTCCACCCCTCCCCACCCCTCTCAGGGACTCCACCATGGTCTCTGATTTCGCGCTCCTCATGTTCGGAGGCAACCTCGAGCCCGCCCCGGCCGGCCGCACGGGGTTTGACATGCTGGGGGGTTACCTGCACTTCGGTGCTTCTGCTCAGACGGCAAAAATGGTGCAGGTGAGAGACTTGGTAGAAGTGGGAATTCGCATGCAGGCACACGCACTTTCGCCCCTGCTGGCCGCACGGGTTTTGACATGTTGGGGGGTTACCTGCACTTTGGTGCTTCTGCTCGGACGGCAAAAATGGTGCAGGTGAGGATTCGGGCATGCAAGCACAAGCTGTGAGTGCGGTACACTTTCACACGGTGACCCCGGCTGGCCGCACGGGCTTTGACATGCTGGGAGGATACCTGCACTTCGGTGCCTCTGCTCAGACGGCAAAGATGGTGCAGGTGAGCATGCAGGCATGCAGGCACAATCTGTGAGCCACACGCACTTTGGCCCCTGCCGGCCGCACTGGCTTTGACATGCTTGGGGGGGTACCTGCACTTCGGTGCTTCTGCTCAGACCGCAAAAATGGTTCAGGTGGGAACTGGTGCAGGTAAAATTCGGAGCAGGTCAGAGGCAAAGTGGTTTGGTTTTAACTTTCGGCTCGAAGTTGGATTGCTTCAGCTGAAAGTGGGATGGCTTCAGGTTTCCCCATCCATTGTACTCCCTCCCTCCTGTCCTGTCCTGTCACCCACTCTTCCAGGACCTGAGGCAGCAGTTGGATTCATTGCTGAGGGAGAAGATCGAGAACCCATCTCTGGACGTGCATGCACAAGGGGAGAGGGTTGTGGCAGCAGTCCGCAGCCTCCTCTCCTCCCATTTCGCTCACATCTTTTCCCTCATCCCTCCCCGCCCTCTCCCAGGACCTAAGGCAGCAGCTGGATTCGCTACTCAGAGAGAAGAAAGAGAACCCATCCTTGGACGTGCATGCACAGGGGGAGAGGGTCGTAGCAGCAGCGGTGGTTGCAGCGGAGCGCAGTCTCCTGGGAAGGTTTCTTAGCCAAGCCTGTTCTGCCCATCTGTTCCCCCCATCCCTCTCCCCACCCCCTCTCTCCCAGGACCTGAGGCAGCAGCTGGATTCGTTACTTAGAGAGAAGATCGAGAACCCATCTCTGGACGTGCATGCACAGGGGGGGAGGGTTGTGGCAGCAGTGCGCAGCCTCTCATGCCTTCATCTTAGCCCATTCTGCCCCTCATATTCCCACATACCTCTCCCTTCCTACTATGCAGGACCTGCGGCAGCAGCTGGATTCTCTACTCAGAGAGAAGATCGAGAACCCATCCCTGGACGTGCATGCACAGGGGGAGAGGGTCGTAGCAGCAGTGCGCAGCCTCCTCTCCTCACCCCACGCGGATTCGCTCCCCCCTGGGGAGTCTGGAGGTGGGGGAGGAGGGGCTAGGGGCGGTGGGAGAGGAGGGGGGAGGCATGGGCACGGGCATGGACATGGGCGTGGGCATGGGCATGGACACAGGGGGAGAGGGGGCAGGCACTAATAAGAAATTGTACCATATGCGGGATGCAAGCATTCCATGTTCATGCATGCGAAATGCATGCACAGGGGAAGGGAAAGAGGATGGTGGCAACAGCTTGCGGCAGTTTTCTGTCTTAGAGAACGAACAATTATAAAATGATATAACTAAGATATACATAGCAGATCATCCAAACTTAACAGCCATTTTTTGACTGCGGCACACGTTTGCAGCTCTATATTCTTTGTACAATGCTGGGTACTTTCATCCAACTACCTAGCCTTGTGCTCTAATGTTTCTTAGGTGAATCGTCGAAATTGTTTTCAGCACAAGAGTGTCGGTTATCCTGGTATCTTAACGAATTGCATCATAACGAAAAAACGGCTCTTTCATTCCAGCACGCTACGCTCTCAAAGCAAAGCCTTTCCTTTCCCTCCCAGGCTGATCTTGCCTGGCCAGGCACCCTTCCAACAGTGACTCCTGCACCTTTTTTATCGTTGAACAGTTTATAACCATGGCGTCTGCCATTTCTCCATGCCTTCTCTCAGGCCGATCTCTAGTGCCAGCGCATCGTGTTCGCTATGGCGCGCCGCTCTCGGCGCCTAGAGATTTCCGTTTCACGGAGCAACGCAGGTTCGCAGACTTCTCCGTGCACGCGAAAAAGAAGAAGTCCAAAGCTCCTGTAGAAGAGCCGGTAGTAGAAGAGGAGGTAGTTGAAGAGGAAATTATTGAGGAAGAAGAGGAACCGTCTTGGGTCTCTGAGAGGGTTACAGATGTCCAGCAGACCGTTCAGTCAGTAATGCAGGCAGTCCCCGGTCCACGAGTAGGCGAGTCGAATATGCCATGGCTCATCGCCGTTCCGTTAGGCTACATGGCTCTGACTTTCGTTCTTGCAGTGTATAAAACTGTGAAAATGCGAAGCACTCCCAAGGCTAAGCGCAGACGACAGGTGCGAGAACTGAGCCTTTTCCGTCAGGATGATCGTGTTTCGTATGGGCTTTTGAAAGATGCACGAACTTCGTGAGTTCCTCACTTACCATCGTGTACGAATACGGCAGATCGGGAAGAATGCTGGCCTCAACCAGAGCATTGACGAGTTTTTGCCCGACAATAAGGACGCTCTGACTTCCAAGGAGCTCAAGTCGCTCGAGAAAAAGGTACCTCCTGTCCGCATGATTCAGTTCAGCAGTCGTTCTTTTGTCTTGTAAGGACTTCTCCTGACGTTCTCCCTTTTCTGCAGTTCAACTTCAGCTCGGATGAGATTCTTCGCAAGTACATCCGTTACGTGATCAATGAAAAGCCCTTTACCCCGGAGACGGTTTCCGGCCTGATTCACCTTCGGAAAGTGTCTGGTCTTGATGACCTTGGGATTGCCGAGGTGCTCAACGAGATCTCTCGGAGAATCGTGAAAGCCAAAGGTAGTACACGCATTTTATGTGTCTTATCCCCTAATTTTGATCGTTATGTGCCAGCGAATGCTCACAGAACCCCTGCCCTACCTCAACCTCGGATGCAGGTCCTGTTGTGATGGATACAACTGGTTTCACTGAGAAGGGAGTGCAGAGGAAGGCAGCAGTACAGGGGATATTCACAAAGCTCCTCTACTTGTCTGAGGTGCGTAGTGTTCTTGCATGAAACTGTGCTGCCATCACAATACAGGAATTAACGTTTGTGTGTTACTGATGCAGCTGGATGATTTCTGTGGGCCATCGGGGCGTGAGAAGCTTGAAATCAAAATCATATTTGGAGTTACAGAGTGAGTATTGTTGGCCCGCTCCCTTTGTTGCTCCCTATGTTTTCCTTTAGCCCACCTCCCTGTTTGTTTCCCATTCACCTTTTGTTGTTGGCTGGCACTAACTTTTCTTTGCTCCTGCAGCGAGGATGCTTCGTTGATCAAGATTGTAAGTTTGTCTTCATCAGCTGACATGGATGCACTGGACAAATCATTAAACGCTGGAGACTCATCAGACTCTGAAGCAGATGAATGAACAATGACCCTTGTGATCACACGCTCACATTGTAGTTATAGTGATAGTGATCTGTGAAGCTTTCTAGTACTGCATTAACAGTTTCAGTTGCAACTTCTTGAACCATAGGTTCTGAAGTTTTAGTCCCGGTAGGCTGGAGCACATTCTGCATTGGCAGATTTTTGTTAGTGCTACGAGTGCAATTGAGTGAACTAACGAGAATTGCAATATCGAAGCAAGAATACAAATGAGCGAAGGCATGAGCGAACATTATATAGCGAAACTACAGTGGTAACGGTAATGGTCGCGCGACGAGCCTGGGACTGAGGTTGGGAAAATGTCGAAGCGTAGGCCCGGAGCGCGGGTTACCAGCCGAGCCGTGAGGTCGGGATGCGATGTGCGAAAAGGGCGGGATGATGAATGATGCGATGGTCGCGAGTGGTAACGGTGCTGACTGACTGAGGTGCTACAGTGATGTACGCGTTGAGCAGGGACGCGAAGTAAGGAAAAGGGAATTTCCTTACACTACCCCCCCTCCTAAGGAGGTCCTCCTTATGAAAGCGCGTGGATGTCTCGGAAATTGCGGCTACGCAGGTAGTCGGTGACGACGGGGTGATTTTCAACTTTCTCCAGGGGAACCCAATTGTCCTCGGTGGGGGTACGATCTTTCCAGCGGATCAGAAACTCCACTTTTCGGGCTCCTCGAGGGTCGCGAACTCTGTGGCTCAGGATCTTGTCAGGGGCGATGACTGGTTCGGTTGGTGGTTGTGTCATGCTGGTGGGTCGATGTCGTGGGAGTTGGCTGGTGGATGGCACGTAAGGGCGAAGTAAGCTGACGTGGAACGAGGGGCTGACGTACCAGTCAGCAGGGAGGATGAGGTGCGCGGTGACTGGCGTAACCATGTGACTGATTCGAAATGGCCCACAGTATCGAGGGCGGAGTTTTGGAGTGATGGGCAGGCGGAGGTTCTAAGTGTCGAGTAAAACGAGGTCGTCGGGCTGATAAGTAACGGGTCTGCGATGGCGATCGGCGTTGCGTTTAGCGATGATGTTTGATTTTTTGATTGCTTCTGCTGCCCTGGTCCGTGCTGCTTGCAGAATCTCGGCGAACTCTTGTGCTCGTGGGACGGGGTTGTCGGGATTCGGTGTCATGGGTACTGTTGGGTCCTGTCCGTAATTCAAGTAAAACGGCGACTGTTGCGTCGTGGCTGATGGCGCGTTATTGTATGCGAACTCGATGAGTGGCAGCTGCTGTTCCCACGTATTCGGATCGTCGCACGTGGCTCGAATCAGCTGCTCCATGGTCTGATTTGTCCGTTCCGTCTGTCCGTCGGTTTCGGGGTGATAGGATTGTGAGAATAAGCGAACAGGAATGAAAATGACTAAGTCAGAGTTGGGTACAAATACAACCCTAAAAAGCTGTACCCCATATGTGCTACCCCACTATAGCCTACAAACATGCATCAGCTATAATAATCTGACACACCCCCATAGGCAAAGTGGGGGAGAACAAGGGGTCACAAGACCAGTCAAGCAAAGCAAAGCAAAACAAGCTCAGGGTGGATCACAAAGTCACCACACAGTCCGAGCACAAGAGCAGGGCCAGAGGCCAGTTCACATGCAAGAGTACAGGCATATATATAAAACTAGACAAGCAGGAGCAGGTATATATATGCCACAGTACAAGTAAAGTCAAGAGGAAAGCAAGTGAGGCAAGACAGGCACAAGACCCAGCTGGCTGCAAAAGCACTGATGGTCACAAGGCGCGAGTGCCTTGGTGAACACATCAGCAGTGTTGGCCTCAGAGGCCACGTACGCAAGTCGCAACTGACCACGCTGCTGCAGCTCACGAGCAAGGAAGTAGCGGAGAGCAATGTGCTTCGTTCTGTGCTCCAAGCGCTGCTCTCGACACAAGGCCAGCATGGCCTTGTTGTCTACGTACAGCACTGGAGGAGAACGAGGCGGCTCTCCAAGGTCAGTCAGCAGGTAGGTGAGCCAGCGAAGCTCCTGTGCAGCCATGGCCCCGGCGTAGATCTCAGCCTCACAACTGGAGCCGAGAACCGAAGACGAACGAGTAGACCGCCACGAGACAGAGCCGGAACCAAGTCTGAAGGTGTAACCCTGTGACGACCGCTGCGTAGCCTGGTCGTCAGCCCAAGAAGCGTCCGCGTGGCCTGTAAGGACCACTGGACTCCGCCCTCCAAGCACTAGCCCCATGCCCGACGTACTGCACAGGTAGCGCAATACCCTCTTCGCTGCAGCCATGTGCTCTGGTCGGTGTCTCCCAGGAGCAACATAGCGTGCAAGAATGCTCAGAGGGTATGCAAGGTCAGGTCGAGTGCAGGTCATCAGGTACATGAGGCAGCCAACAAGCTCTGGGTACGGGCCACTCGGCTCTACGGACTCATCCGAAGGCAGAGCTGAGAGCGAGTGGCGAGTAGACAGAGGAGTGGCCTGAGGCGAGGAGTACGTGAAGCCGAAGCGCTGAAGGACCTGCTGCACCATGTGTGACTGAGTCAAGGTGATGGTGCGGCGTGCTCTGTCCCGAGTGATCTGCAAGCCAAGATAGCTGCGCAGTTCACCCAGGTCTGTGCACGTGTGTCTCTTCAGCAGCTCGGACTTCACGTAGGCGAGTCCAGCAGTGTCCGCTGTGGCAAAGACCAAGTCGTCGACGTACACGAGGATGTAGAACGGCGGCAGTGAAGTGTCGGTGCGCAGAAACAGCGACAGGTCAGCAGTAGAGGGAGCAAACCCAAGAGCCGCAAGCGTAGTCCTCAGTGTGTCGTGCCACTCACGCGGTGCCTGGCGGAGACCGTAGACTGGCCGTCGGAGGCTCCACTGGGTGCCAGGAGGGAAAGTCCCAGTGAAGCCAGGCGGACGGCGCAGCCAGATCTCCTCGTGCAGGCTACCCTGCAAGAACGCAGTGCTGAAGTCGAGAGAGTGAAGCTCGTAGTCGCGCTGAGCGGCTATGTGCAGCAGCACCCGAAGAGTGGTCATCTTCGGGGTGGGAGAGAAGGTCTGAAAGTAGTCAACTCCCTGCCGCTGACTGAAGCCACG